CTACCTAGAATACTCCTCCTCCCATCCACCTTCCTGCAAAAATGCTACCCATGTGGGTACCCATGGCCACCCCCTTTGTCTGTAGGAAGTGGGAGGAATTGAAAGCTTCGGGGTCTCCCCTCCCCCTGCCGCGTCCCGGGGCCAGTCTAGCTCGTCCCCGCCTCCCTAACCTGTTCTTCCTCCCACCTATCCCCTCCTCCCACCTCAAGCCGCAACCTCATCCCGCCCCCTTGACCTGTCCGTCCTCCCTGGACTGACCTATCCCCTCCCTAACTCCCCACCTACACTCACCTTTACTGGCTCCATCCCCGCCTCTTCGACCTGTTTGTTTCCTCTCCACCTATCCTCTCCTCTATCCATCTTCTTTCCACCCCCGACTCTCTCCCTATTTATTTCAGAACCCCCTTCCCCTCCCCCTTTTCTGATGAAGGGTCTAGGCCCGAAACGTCAGCCTCTCTGCTCCTATGATGCTGCTTGGCCTGCTGTGTTCATCCAGCCCTGCACCTTGTTGTCTCGGATTCTCCAGCATCTGCAGTTCCTACTATCTCTCTACATAAAAGGTAACTTGGTGATGGGATACCAGTATCTTTGGAGTTATTTCTTTTTGCATCCCTTTATCCAACTTTTATGGGGAGCCATTAATGACTCAATTCAGGGCTTAAAATGCTGGGCATTTCCTGCTATTTTGTGTGGAGAGCCATGGGACAGTCTACCATGCTGAAGGAGCTATACGAGTTCAGGTTATTGTTGCTGTGCGAGAGTTCACTTTGTGGCTTTCTTCATTTTGAATTGACGAGAAAATGTCTGTGCAGGGTTGGCGTTGAACTTGGCTGAGAGAGATGTTGATGAACAAGGCAGGGACTGCAGTCAGCTGACATTCTTCCCAGCCCTGATTGAAAGCATCCAGTCTGAAGATTTCTTTGAGGACTGTGTGGAGAGACAGGCCATTCTCCAAGTTTTTGATGCGAAAGAGAAGGTAAGGAATTTTGGCCAAAGTGCAGTCAGCACTGAATGCTCCTCAAAGAAAGTTGAGTTGCTGCAAAAACATCATGATTTAAGCACATATTAGTTTCCTTTAGATTTATGGAAAGAAGGTTGGATTTGGCTTCAGTGAAATTGTGGGCAAGATACACAGGTCATGTGCTGAGGGCCATCCTCCCCTTCCCACTACCCCTAACAACTCCCCATTAAAAACAGTTCTAGAGTAGAAGTCATTCCAGAGTCCTTTGTGGTAGTCACGGAACTATGGCTGCGTAGAAAGTTAGTTAATCTATCCAGTCTAAGCCAGATGCTCTTTTCAGAAAAGAGAAGTGGATGCCAACCTGAAGAAAGAGATGCTGAGGAAAGAAGGAAACATACCTTCCAGGTGCATTTCACTCAAGCTAGTCTATTGTATTCATTGCTCACAGTGTAGTCCCCTCTGCATTGGGGAGACAAAATGCGGACTGGGCAACCGTTTTGCAAAACACATACATTCCATCTGTAAAAATGACCCCGAGCTTCCGATTGCTTGCCACTTCAACACATCACTGTGTGCCCTGGCCGCCATCTCTATCTCGGGTTTGCTGCAGTGCTCCAGCAAAGCTGAGCATGAGCTGGAAGATTAGCATCTCATTTTCCACGTGGGAACTCTGCAGCCTTCAGGACACGATATTGAATTCAATAATTTTAGGGCCTGAGCACCTTCTCCCATGTCCTTCCTCCAACCCCACACACTAGGCTCTATCATCACATTGGTTACTACTATAAACAGCGCATTGTCAGCCACTAGTGGTACCCATTAGCAGCTATTGATTTCCCCCAGACTGATCTTTAACCACTCCTCTGTTTGCTCAACTCTCTCTCTTTGGGCTCCATCTTCGCCTATCGTTTACCCCACCCCATCCTCAGCATATACACCACCTTTTCCTAGCTGCAATTAGTTCTCAAGAAGGGTCACCAGGTCTAAAACATTAACTCTGTTTTTTTTCCACAGATACTGCCAGACCTGCTGAGTTTGTCCAGCAATTTCTGTTTCTGTTGCTGGGGAAGTTTATAGAGGTTTCTTTAAAAAAAAAGGATGGTGTAAAGAGGGAGGTTTTGCAGTTTAAAAGTTTTATAAATCTCTGGTTAGACCACACTTGAAATATTATGTTCAGTCCTGGTCACCTCATAATAGGAAAGATGTGGAAGCTTTAGAGAGGGCGCAGAGGAGATTTACAGGATGCCGCCTGGACTGGAGGGCAGGTGTTATGAGGAAAGGTTGAGGGAGCTATGGCTTTTTTCATTGGAGCAAAGAAGGATGAGAGGGGACTTGACAGAGGTGTACAAGATGATGAGAGGCATAGATAGAGTGGATAGTCAGAAACTTTTTCCCAGGGCAGAAATGACTATTATGAGGGGACATAATTTTAAGGTGATTGGAGGAAGGTATAGGGAAGATGTCAGAGGTAGGTTCTTCACACAGAGAATGGTGGGCGTGTGGAATGCGCTGGTAGTGGAGTCAGATACTTTAGAGACTTCTAAGCGACTCTTGGATAGGCATATGGAGGATAGTAAAATGTAGGATATGCAGAGTAGATTGATCTTAGTAGGATAATAGGTCGGCACAATATCGTGGGACGAAGGGCCTGTACTGTGCTGTACTGTTCTATGTTCAATGTTTAAAGTAAAAATCCCAAGACTGAAGATATTGAAACCAGTAGTTGTTGAGGGAAAGTGAATGCTAATGAGGTGGTGGGGAAGTGGAATCTGATTCTGGATCAACAAGGATAAAGAGGGTCAAATGCATTTCTCCAGAGAAGTGAAAGTGAACAGGATGAGCTAATGACGAACTTTAAGATTACGAAAAGCTTTGGTGGAGGATGTAAAGAAAAAGCTTCCACCTGTGAAGAGTCAAGAGCTAGAGAGAATAAAGATTGGGTTGCAGCTGTAACAGGCACGGGGTGAGTCTGCGTCTGGAGTACTAAGTACAGATTTGGGCCCCGTACTTCAGGAAGGATGTGATTAAATTGGAGACAGTTCAGAGAAGATTCACTGGATTAATTCCAGAGATGAAAAGTTTGTCTTACGAGGACAGATACTCACTGGAGTTTAGAAATATGAGAAGAGTTCTAACTTAGGTATAAAAGATGCTAAAAGGGATCGACAAACGGATGCAGAGAGGATGTTGATAAAACAGTGTGGAGCTGGAGGAACACAGCAGGCAAGGCAGCATCAGTGGAGTAGGAAAGCTGACGTTTTGAGTTGGGACCGTTCTTCAGAAATGCAGAGAGGATGTTTCCCCTTTGGGGAAAGATAGAATGAGAACAATATAATTTTAGGCTAATGGGTGGCAGATTTAACGTAGACAAGAAGAAATTACTTCTTTCAAAGTGTTTTAAATTCACTACTCCAGATTGCAGTGGATACTTGGACACTGATTAAATTTAAGGAGAAGATAGGCAGGTTTTTAACTTGTAACAGACTGAAAGGTTATGGAGAGCAGGCAGGAAAGTGGAGGTGAGACTGTGTTGAACTCAGCCATGATCATATTAAACAGTGGAGCAGGCCCGAGGGACTGGATTGCCTCCTTCTGTCCTTAGTTCCTATGTTCTTGTGCTTGTAAGGTGATCATTAAATCCAGTAGAGAATCCAGGAGAACATCTCTGGATGCAGTGCTATCAGAAAGAGGCAAATAGTGTAGGGTGCATTTAACACACAGGTACACAATGGCTACATGTTAAGGTCAGATGCAGTTGGATGGGAAGGAGACTCGTGTGGAGCATACTGACTAGCATAGACCTGCTCGGCTGAATGGCCTATTTCTATGCTGTACCCTCAATTGAACTAGATGCGAGAAAAAGTAGTGAATAGATTTGCTGAGTCTCGAAATGGCAGCCCACCACCACCTGCAGCGATTGGACAAATCCTTGGGTGCACAGGAAATGGTCCCCAAACCCCAGGGACGCTATGTCCTCCCCACTTCGGATTTTGGAAATCACTCTGACATGAACCAGCAGCTTCAGGTAGGAAGAGGGCGAGAATTTTTTGTGGAAGAAATTCAACTAAATTAGAACAGAAAAGATGAGGAGGAAAGCAATTTTTTAAAATAAAAAGCAGCATGTGGCTTTGACAGAGCAGTTCCATCAATACAGCCTCCACAGCTCGTGTTACATAATGTGTACTTCCAGAGGCTCTGCAACCTGATTTATATTCACTGCCCCTTGCTACCAGCATCTTATGTACCACATATGGTCGCTGTTTGCAAGTCAGGAGGATTTGCTGCATGTGTCATGCTTGAGCTGTGAAGAAACAGGTGTGAGTCGGTAGAACAAGTGTAGTGGATAATATAATTAACAGCAGTAACTTGTGCTGCACTCCAGTGCAAATCTGTTTATCTTTTCAAAAGAAAAGTTGTTACACCCCAGATTGCCAAGTAGATACCTTTATAATATTTCAGCATTTTCAATATTAAGATAAATAGATTAGTTTCTAACCACATGAATACATAAATGCAAGATATAGAATCATGTACTTAAGCCAGCTGCAGGGGACAGATTCAGATACCATTCAGATTGAGAGAAATAGGGCAGTGTTCCTTTTAAACTGTGTGGTTGCACACATGTGCAGAAATCTGTGGATTACCACAGCATACAATAAATAGGGTGCCCACGATAAAGCATACAAAGAGGAGTTATTATTGTTTATCTTTTTTCCATAAACTTTTGAATTCACCAAATTGTTCTTGAAGGGGCTGTGTTGTACAAAGCGATATTTCATAAAGAAGACAGGAATAGGATGAGATTGTGCTGAGGTGGAAGATCAGCCATGGTGTTGTTGAATAGTGGAGCAGACCTGAGGGGCCAAAGAGCCTAATCCTGCTCCCTTTTTTTAAATGTTCTCATTTTGCATTGTGTCCTCTAACTGTGTACCAGATGGCACTGATATATAGGGATACTAAAGCATCTGTCAAGGGAACCAATTAAGAATTAATTATTAATTATATTTCCACTGGTAGGATTGACCAGTTATGAGTAGGTGACAGATATCATGAATTATGTGACAGGCCATCGTATTTTGATGTATCTGATGTCATATTGAGCTAAAATATTTGCAGCATGTTTTGGACTGGACAAACTCCTAAAATAGTGTTTGAGAATCTAAGAAGGTAGAGACTGTGCTACAGACCTGGTTAGACAATGAGACTTTTCAACATTGCAGTGATTTTTGCTTTGGTCACAGTTGTGGGTATTTCTGCAAAGATGCTTTTTTTCAAAAGTTATGCTTCACAGGTTGAACACAGTAGACCAGTCTCCTGAATGGAGCTTGCGTTGCTGTGTTCTGGAGTGCACCTTCACTTTCTTAATATCGAATTAAACAGTGCTTTCTTGTGTTTACAGTCATCTTAGGAACCGAGCAGGCCATTCAGTCCATCAAACCTGCCTCTACCATTCAATATGATTCAATATGATCGAGCACACTAGTGCCTTTTACTCACCCCATTCCCATAACTTTCTCTCTCCTGTGTGATGACACACATGTGATGCTATTTGTAGAGCCCTTTCACATTAGAATACAAAGTGAGACAAACTGGTTTATTTTAAATACAGTGTATGAATGGACAAAATTTGATTTGATTTATTATTGTCACATGTACCTTGGTACAGTGAAAGTTTTGTTTTATGTGCAGTTCTGACAGATCATACCATACAAAGTGTATTTTGGTAATAGAACAGAGTAAAGAATACAGTGTTATGGCTACAGAGGATGTGCACAAAGAACAAGGTCAACATTAGATTTGAAATTTGAGAGGTCCATTCAGAAGCTGTTCTTGAATCTGTTGGTACATGTGTTTAAGCTTTTGTTTAGCTTTCAGAAGGGGTTCATTACCTCTTGTAAAATAATGTCCTCCCAGAATATGTTAAAGTTTGTGGCTTTTTGCTTGCTCTGGCCTAGATTTGCTGAAACATTCACAGCTCCTGAACTAGCTCAGACCATTGGGCCACAGTCTCTGAACAAGGGCTTGACTATTTAGGACTGAAATGAGGAGAAATTTCTTCACTCAAGGTTATGGACCTGTGGAATTCTTTTCCCCAAAGTACTGTGGATGCTCAGTCATTAAACCAGACCGTGGATATGAGCGGAATTAACATAAGAACATTCGAAGTAGGAGTAGCCAATCTGGCCCCTCGAGCCTGCTGTGCCATTTAATACAATCATGGCTGCTCTCACCTCGGCCTCAGCACCTCTTTCCCACCCGCTCTCCATAACTTTTCAACCCAGTACTAATTAATGATTTGTTTGTCACCTCCTCAAATTTGTTCAGTGTCCAGGCAGCCACTGCACTCTGGGATTGTGAATTCCAAAGACTCATAACCCTTTAGGAGAAGGTAATTTCTCCTCATCTGTTTTAAATCTACCACTTCTTATCCTAAAACTATGACCTCTCATTCGACATTGTCCCACAAGGAGAAACATCCACTCTATGTCTACTTTGTCAATCCCCTTCAGCATTTTTAAAAAAATCAATTAGAGCTCCTCTCATTCTTCTAAACCCTAGTGAGTATAGGCCTAAACTGCTCAATCCCTCCTCAATTAAGGGATACATGGATAGTGCAGGAAGGTAGAACTAAGATCAGCCAAGATTGTATTAAATGGTGGAGTATGCCCCAAAGGGTGAAAAAGAACATGCATCATAATTAGGAGATTGATCTGCTCTTGCTCCATTTTGTTACGTTCTTCTGACTTGACACAAACCTTTTATCTCCCATGTTCCTGTCACAGTCTAGACTCTCTTGGTTTTCCTTGAGCTGTTTAGAAAGCTCTGTGTTGGGCTTAGACAGCCCAAGACTCCCACCACCACCCACTGAGACTATACCCTGCCCTCACATTGACTCCCTGTCCAATGAGCTACCCTCGCTATGAAAGCCACACGCTCAGGGGTGGGTAATTTATACTGAGGTGAAATTGCTTCCTTAAATGTAAAATAGAGAAGGCAGGAGGCAGATGGTGAAAATCTAGTGGGACAGTGATAGAGAGAATCCTTGAACTAGCACAGGAAATGAGCCGGTTATGAATTGGCTGGAAAAATAATTTTGGGGAGATCATTTGGGAAACAGAAGTGAAGGATTTGTGTTGCTAATGTTTGGAAAAGTTATTGGGTCAAGAGATTAAGCAGTAAGGCACAAAAACTTTGGTTAATGATTTGATGGACTGGACCAATGTAACTACTAGAGAAGACTCCATGTGTATCCACTTGGATACTAATTCATGCTTGTTCCAATGCACTTGGAAGAAGGTGACCTTATAGAGAAACTAGTCGCCAGAATTTGGTTCAACTGCTACTCGGCTGGGGTATCGTTCAGATAATGTGCTGTAGCTGTGATTAATTTGGCACATGAACAAAATCATCAGTGGACCAGAAAATGTAGCGCTGGTGGTGTAGGTAGTACGTGCAGAGGCTGGAATCGTAGCTGTATGACTCTAATGTTTCAGAAAGGTAGGCTTAGCTGGTAACAGTGGGTTTGAAGGGTAAGCCTTTCCTGACTGCGATGCTCCTGAAAGGTCAGCCTTGATTGACTGCAGTGCTTCTGAAAGGTAGGCCTTTCCTGACTGCGGTGCTCCTGAAGGGTAGGCCTTGCATGTCTACCATGTTCCCGACGGGTAGGCCTTGTCTGACTGAAGTGCTGCTGACAGTGCTTAGTAGCTTAGACAGTGCCTGACTCCAGTGCTGTAGGCCTAACCTGTGCACTCCTGAAGCCTGGGGCCTGTCTGGGTTAAATCTTTCAAACTGATGAGAAAATGCTGTGGTGTATAAAGGGATTTTATATTGAGACACGGAGTGTAGTTGGAATGAGCAGTGTTAGTTTCATATTTCTACTCATTTTAATGAGGCATTCTTTCACAGATCAACGTTAAATACTCCCTCATTGTGGCTGACAGTCATTTGCTGATGGAAGGTGTTCTGCTTTTCGGGATAAATCACTTCTATGTGTGTGAGAATTTCACACTGTCTGCTTCGGAAGATGTTTACTGTGTTAATCACCATCCTTCAAGGTAATAACTGATCTGATATATAACTTAACCATTTTACAGGCCATTTGTAATAGAACCTATATCACTGAAACCTAAGTCCCAAAATCATTACCATTCATGAGGCACGTTTCTACATGAGGATTTTGATGTATTGACATAGAAAACCTCTACCCTAGGTTCTGTTTTGGATTATCTGACCCGAGTGTAGGTGAATAAAAGGTCACTGGAATTGGCCTCAGTACTGTTTTGGGTACGGAGGGGAAAATTCCCACAGGAAATCTCTTGGGGAGCGTATAGGTGCAGATATTGCGTGAGAGTGGGATCTGGTTAAGCTGCCCCTAGTGGCGGTGTAGGGGATTGACTAAAGGTCACAGAGGTAAGATGCAGCACGACTTCAAATGTTTCTGATTGTATGATGAATGTAGCTTTACAGATCACAGAATCTCTACAGTATGGAAGCGGGTCATTTGGTCCATCGAGTCCACACTGACCCTCTGAAAGGTACACTATCCAGACCCCCCCCCTACCCTATCCCTGTAACCACGCATTTCCCATGGCTACCCCACCCAGCCTGCACATTTCTGGATACAATGGGCAATTTCCAAGGCCAATCCACCTAACTTGCACATCTTTGATCTGTGGGAGGAAACCGGAGCACCCAAAGGAAACCCACACAGACACAGGGAGAATGTGCAAGCTCCACACAGTCGCCCGAGGGTAGAATTGAACCCAGTTCCCTGGCACTGTCAGGCAGCAGTGCTAACCACTGAGCCACCGTGCCACGTAAGATCGAGGTGCACAAAGCAGTAAAGTCCATCGTACAATTCCCAGCTCGGAGCAATTGATTCTTCTGCCTTTAGTGAGTCCTGTGAATTAAATCTCTGCTAATGTCCTGAGTGACAAATGGCAAGTCATCAATATGGTGCTGTTCTGGCCCATGCATTGATTGATCTCATGAAGTGTTCCTTTTGCTGATTCATTTTTTTTGACAGTCATCACCTTGCACTTATTTTCCATTGTTTCTTGCCTGTGAGTCGACAGGCTGATGTGACCAAACAGCACCCAGTGTTGATGGTGGCTATTCACTGTTTCTCAACACCCCCTTATCTACAGAAAGTCTGGAAAATGTGCTTTACCTTTGGTTAGACTACCCAGCTCTCAAAGAGTCAGTTTTGTTTTCTATTTATTCATGGGTAGGATTTATTGCCCATCCCTGTTTGCCCTTGAGAAGATGATGTTGAGCCTCCTTCTTAGACTGCTGCAGTTCAAGTGATGTAGACTCACTTATATTGCTATCAGGAAAGCAGTTCCAGGATTTTGACCCAGCCACAGAGAAGGGTGAGAGAATGCAGTTCCAAGTGGGGATGGTGAGTGGCTTGGAGAAGACCTGATGGGGATGGTGTTCCCATGTGCCCGCTCCTGTTGTCCTTCCAGTTGTTAAGGGTGACAGATTTGGAAGGGACTGCCAAAAGAGGCTTGGTGAGTTGCTATGGTGCAGCTTGTGTATTGTACACACTGCTGCCACTGGGCATTGTGATGGAAGGTGTGAATGTGTAAAGTTACTGCGAGAGAAACAGTATCAGCTTAGGGTATCCCTGACTACAGTCAGGGGCTTTTCTTAGCGTCATTTGAAGTAAGATGCTACAAGGCTGTTGGTGGATGGAGTGCAGATCAAAGCTGCTTTACTCTGCAAGCTTCTCACCCACGCAAGTGGAAGGTATTCCAGCACAGACCGAACTTGTGCCTCGTTGATGGTGAACAGGTAAGAATGAGGAGATGAGTTACTCAACACAGGATTTCCAGCCTCTGACTTGTTCTTGTAGCCGTAGTATTTATGTGGTTGGACCAGTTAAGTCTAACAACTTCTTTAACCAATCTCTTCACCCTGAAAAGTTAATTAATCCAGGTAAATTCTAACAGTCCTTCAGTGGATGAGCCTGGTGACACATTCTAATTCCTCCGTCCACTTCCATGGTAGCTATGGAAACTCCCATTGTGAGATGGTCCTTTCAGGTTGGGTTGTATCAAAGTGCTCTATTTCAAATTAAATATTCAAGTGTTTGTTGAGCTTTTGACAAATAAATCTTGTCCTGTTTTTGTATTGCAGTATTAATGATTCCTACATTTACGATATGTGCAACAAGGAGACTGGTGAGAAACGTCCGAAATGTTCCAGATATTCATACGATGATGTTCGAGAAATCCATCATCTTCGATTCCTCCTTCAGGTAATGGATATATTATTTCTAACTCCTACTTGGAATCACTGTAATGTAATGCAACTTCTTTTCTTCTTTACTCCTCTTTTTTTGTATTGACTATTTTTTCCAAGCTACTTTTTGCCTAAGATAGTGCCATAAAAGGTGACATTGTAAATTTTTCACTGTACTTCTGTACTTGAGTACATTTGACAATAAAACCTAATTATAATTCTGTTGACTTACATATAACTTGCTGTTGGGAGAATTAGATTTCCTGGTGACTATTTATGTGACGAGATTTATCCATGTACCATGTGCGCAGTAACAAGTTGAACGCACATGTTGCAACAATGATTTTTTGTCTATGCTCACAAATGTCAGCATTGGTAAAAGGCAGGTTTCCTAATTTCCCAAAGCAAGAAAAAAGCCCCAAACAAAAAATCAAAGCTTTTAAAAGACAATGGAAAGCAAAGTTGGATACAACTGGAGAAGCATTTTAATAAATAGTGCAGAAGTTGAGTTTTAAAATAGAGGCAGATGGAGTTTGTCAGCTCCTTTTTAAAGTTTTTATTTGAACGGTCAGAAAGTAATTCTGAAGCAGTGACCTAATATGTCATTGTTAAGAAAGCATGAGACTGCATTAAAGAACCTGAGGGGACCTCTAATGTTAATGGATAAAATGATTGTGAGTTTTTGACAGGAAGAGGAAACAGAACAAGTAGTCATCATGGAATCCTTGAAGTGCACAGAGATAGATCATTTGGCCCACTGAGTCTGCACAAACCTTCTGAAGATTGTCTGAGCCAGACCCAGCCCCAACACCCTATCCCCATAATCCCGCATTTCCCATGGCTAACCCATCTAACCTGCACATGTATGAACTTCATGTGAGACTGCAAGCTGCAAACAAGCCCATGTGTCAAGGTTCCGAAAGGCTCCCACTTTTTTGTCGATTGTAGAATCTATATGCGCAGATGTTTGATAAAATACATATTTCTTACAATGGTTCAATATTTTTATCAGAAGCCTTGACCACCTTTTCCAAACTTTTACGGCTAGAATTGGATACACTATTCCAGCTGTGGTCTCACTGACATAAACCGAAGTTCATCAGAACCTCTTTGCTTTTGGACTGTAACCCTCTTGTTGTTAAAGTTTTGACTGATCTTTTCACTCATGCCTTCTACGTTACGCATTAAAACCCAGCTGTGAGCCCCTCACAAATGGCAGAAATGCACTGAGAATTCTGATTCGTCCCAAAGTCAAACTGAAATAGCTCATTGCTTGTTTGTCATTTACAAGAGAGAGAGATTTACTGATTCAGTCAGAGAAGTCTCAAATTTGCCCAGAAGCAAAATAATTTTCCCATCTCTGTTCTCATTGCTGCTCAGCCAGGAGTTTTAAAAATAATTAGTTGTACACTTGCTCTGTAGTTTTGTACTTCATGTAGCCAAGTATACAGGTTTCATTTTTGATTAAAGGGCTTTCATTCCCTATAACAGGATAACATCTTCTGTTTGAATTCCAATATATAGAGGAGAGTTCTCTCCTCTCCCCTTCCTACACATTCTAGAGATTTCCAAAGCCACAGTGGGGTTCCATTTATTATCATATTCTCAGATTACATGAAAATGCCAGTTTTTTTAGGTGTTACTTTTGTTGAGGGTAAATCATGTGGAAATACTTCCCAGAACATTTTACATGCTAAAGAGGTAGTTGTTGGACAAGATGGGGCCTTTGAACTGAGATGCTGCATGTCACACAAGATGCATCGTGGGAAGCCATCTTAAGGCTGTCAGCAAGTTTCTTAAACAGCTGATCGCCAGTTGAATTGACCGCAGGCACTTATTAAATAGGCCACATTACCTTTCAATGGCCAAAACTTCAATTAATGGCATCTCCAGATTGAGTTGGAAACGAGGGAACTTGATATTAATTTTGATTGAAGCACTCCTTTTAAGAAATGTTTGCCAGTCAGAGAAATACTCACCACTTAAAGGAATGCTCTCCATTTCGTGGTAATTATTACTGAAGATGTGAAGACGATCACAAATACAGAAGAAGACTTTAAGGTTTGTCCAAAAGTCAAACACGTTTTCTGGGAATTTTCTTTGACTTCACTTATTAAGAGTGAGTGCTGCGTCCCTCTATCTCACCAGGCATATTATTTAAGTACCTGAGCGGGAATAAGGAAGTGAGAAGTAATGAGTAGCCGACCTGAGATTGGACAGAACAGCACCAGCTCGAGCAGGAGAGGAGGATTCGAGGTGAGATGGTGTACTGTTGGGACAGGACGTTGCACCTCAACTAGACCTCCTCCAAAGCATTCTGTCTGGATGCATCATGGCTTAGTGCAGCAACTGCTCTGCCCAGGACCCTAAGAAACTACAAGAGAGTCATGAACACAGTCCAGTCCATCACACAAGCCAACCTTCCATCATCGACTCCATTTATATTTTCCACTGCCTCAGAAAGGCAACCAACATCATCAAAGACCCCTCGCACCCTGGTTATAATCTCATCCAATCTCTTTCATCGGGGCAGAAGATGCAAGATCTTAAACACGCATACCAACAGAGTCAAGAACAGCTTTTTCCCCACTGTTATTAGACTTCCGAATGGACCTTTTCAAATTCCAACTCTAACATTGATCTTTGCTTTTTGTGCACCTTCCTTGCAGCTGTAATTTTGTATTCCTCGCTCTGTTCAATTACCCCTATGATCTTTGTATGGTATGATCTATGAGTACTGCACACAAAACCAGACTTTTCACTGTAGCTAGGTACATGTGACAGTATTAAATCAAATCAAATTTGAACCATTGAGAAGTTGTGCAGCCTCTTCCCTGTCCGTGAGTCATCCTGATAACTGCCACTGTGTGATTAGCCCGTACCCTCCACACCAATGTTCCCTCTAAGCTGCCCTGGTGGTACAGCATGTCAGATATCAACATGTTCTGAGGAAGGGTCACCGGACCCAAAACGTTAACTCTGTTTTCTCCTTCGCAGATGCTGCTAGACCTGCTGAGCTTTTCCAGCAACTTTGTTTTTGTTCCTGGTTTGCAGCATCCGCAGTTCTTTCGGTTTTTATTGACCTGAAACTAGCCAAGTTCAACAGAAATTTGTGATGGAATATCGAAGGTGACATTGTCAAAATTATCTCGCACACATTGCAAAGGTTATTGAAAGGTGTTAACCCGGACATTCATGATCAGGAACATATACCTCACAGTGAGACCTTCAAATGACTTTTGGGATAAGATTTCTTAGTCACAGACACTGCCAGAATAAAGGCCATCCGCCAAACTCTATGGATTGAACCTCATCTCCCCTGAGCAGTACCATCAATAAAGGCAAGACAGAAAGGTCATTGCAGAATGTAGTCCTCAAGCTGGGACCCTGTCTCTGTTATAAGTTGGAATACTTCACAGAGCGTTTAAAAATAATATGAACTTTTGGTTCCACAACACACATTCTGGCACTGATCTCAGTTTTAAAAAGACTGCTCTTCAAGAGAATAAGAGCTATGGCTCTTACTGGAACTTCACAATCAATGTTCCAGAATACAGTTATTTCAATTTCAAATTTTTCTTTTCAAATCTGCTTTTTTCCCCAGCTTTTAACATTGTTCTGTTTGTTTGCCCGCAGCAATATGTATCATGGTGAATGGGATGGGGTTTATCTTTTAAATAGTGTTTAGACTTTTTACTGAGTGAATTTACAATAAAACGAACTCTTTAATTTTGATGCTTTGAAACATCTGTCTAGCTGGCTACTTGACAGTTTTACATAGGGTTGAACTGGAGAGCACACTCTAACAATTCTGTTACACCACCCTCAGGAGTTGCATTGCAAGAGAGACATGTATTCACCCATCCAGGCTTGGGCATAGCAAAGTATTCAGCACAAGTATGGCTGGATCTAGAGATGAGCTGACTGAAAGTTTTGGGAAAGTCCTGGTTTATGGCAAGTTGGTTCCAGGGGGTAGGCATCACATCTCTCTCTCTCTCTCTTTCTCATTACCACACAAAGAACAGCATTGGCATTGGGTTTGGACTCAGATTTGTGCCCATCTCTGACCCACAGTGGATAACAGAATTTGTAAGGCCTAGGAATGAGGTGGCGAAAATAAAACTTCCCCTTTGTGGTTAAGTTGCTAAAGCTATTGCCTGATATGGCACACTGCCACAAGTATGGAAAGGTCATCTGATTGTTGCATTGTCTGACTTCGGTGGTAAATTGGTCCATTGCCCCTAAACCAAGGAGGTGTTTTTGAAGGATGAAGTGGGCAGGAAGTGTCTGGAATTTCAGCTCTGTTTGATCCCTGTCAAATGACATTTTCTGGAAATTGTGGATCCAGTGAGAATTGGATTCGACTTCACTTTGGTGGACCCGACCCAATCTTGAACGAGTATTGCTAGCAACAGAAGTCTCTCCACAGGAGACAAAGCGGTGGTCAAAAAGAGTTACAGGTGCTCCCAGGACATTAAATCACCTCAACCACTTGGCACTGAATCCCTTAACTTTGATTTGAGTATTTTACGGAAAGATATGTAATTGCAATAAAGGGTTTGATGTTCTTTATGTGATTGCCACTCTTCCCCATAGGACATTGCACTCGAAGTCTTTTTAAAGAATGGATTTTCGAAGTTACTTATTTTCCATAAAAACGACAGGAAAAGGGTCTTTAAAAGGTAAGTAGCTCTAAACATGCTGTGTGGCCGCGATAACTTTTTGTGCGGTTATTTCCGTGGAATATCATATTAACTTCTTTCTTCAGCGCTGTCTTTGTTTATTCCTCAGCTTCTGCCATGCTATACCCTCTGTGAAAAAAAGCAAAACAGATGGTCTTAAAAATGTTGGGTGAGTTTATACTTTGTTCAAATTGTGTGACTGTTATGGATGGACTGTCAATGTACTTTGCATTTGGGAATCAAAATTGGAGAGAGCCATTTGAGTGTTTTAGGAGAAAAGTAGATAGAGACTTGAAACAGTGTGAGATATGGTACCATGGGGAGAGCAGAGCAGTGAGATTAAGTAAGGTTTACCACAACAAAGAGCCTACACGCCCCACACAAATAAAAGGGCGCTGTCATCTTTGGTTTGTTTTCAAACCTGTTTTTTTTTGTTTCAACCACTATTTTATTTGACTTGCCTTTATAATGAAACTAGGAGCTCTTGGGCTTTTGGTTATCTGTCAGCTTGCTGAATATGAGGTTGAGGTAATTTCCTCATGTTAAGAAGCAGATGACTGAGGATTTAAATAAACTACGTACCCAGTGGCAAATTTGTAAAAAAAAAATCATCTTAAAGCAGAAACATCCCACAGCTCTTCATTTGCCATCAGTGTTGTTATGTAGGTAAACATAACAATGAATACACTTCAGCACTACTTAGTGCCTTTTATGGTTTCATCATACTCAATTATCTGGAAGCATGTCTTTCTTTAATGCAACAATTCTGTCTTTGTCAGTGTCTCACAAACAACATCAAGCAAAAGGGACAGTTAAACTTTTGTTTTTTTTTCTCATTGTTGATTAAGGGATGAATGTTCACCAGGAGATCTCCTGCCTTTACTTTCGAAAGTGTTTTGAGCTCTGTAGTGTCCAATCAAAATATTGGAATAAGCAGATGGAGCTTCAACATCTTCATCTAAAGATCGGTATCCCTTTCACTGTAGCACTCCCTCAGTGCTGCGCTGTGTGTTAAGCCTGATAAATGGACATTAGCAAAGGTCGAAAAGGGAATTGGCTTTTGCGTGACCATTTATTGACCATTCCTAGAAGGTATTCAGTTGATGTGAAGCTGTTATCAACCAGGTTAATACTATGCAGGACATGCTTTTGTAGTTTGCAAATGATGATATTCAGAAAGACAGAAAACCATCAGTCGTGTAACAGGATGGCACAGACAGTCTGGTGAAATGGGCAGACCTATGGCATGCAATAAAATTTAATGCAGAGACATGTTAAGTCATAGATTTTAGCAGGAAGCAGCAAATCAACATAACTGGCACAACTTTAAAGGGGTGCAGGGGTAGAAATGTAGAGTGGAGTATGTGCGTAAGTCTTTCAAAGTGGCTGAACGAGTTAAGATGATTGTTTAAAAGGTACATGAGGTCCTTAGATTTAGAAACAAAAGCATAAAACACAGAAGAACAAACGCTAGATTATTCTTTCCAATCCTGGGCACCACATTTTAGGAAATATGCCAAGCTCTTCAAGAGGATGCAGAGGAGAATTACAAGAATTATACCAGGAAGGAGAAACTTCAGATGTATAGAGACTAATGAAACTGGGCTTGTCCTTCTCAGAGCAGAGATGATTAAGGGAATATTCAATCAAGATGTTCTAATTGTTACAGTTTTGCTGGAGTAAGTAAAGAGAAACTGTGTTCATCACAGGAGGTTTAAGATAACTTAGGTTGGCATGAGAGAAAAAAAAATTCAGAAGTCTTTTTGTTCTGATCAGAAATACATTGCCTGAAGAAGTTGTGTGAGCAGATTTAGAGAGAACTTTGGAAGTGTGTGGAGTACAGTGAAATGGCAGGGCAATGGAACTGATTTGAGTAGCACTTTCTAAACCTAGCACTGGCACAATGGGCCTGAAGTCCTCCTTCCGCACTCTGATTTTATTATTTTATAGGATTGAGATTTTGTACTTTTCAATAAATTGAAAGTTCACATTAATTTGGAAATTGCTTATTCCCATCTATGGTTTCATTCAGGTTAGTGAGCAGAATTTGGCATGATGGGATTGATTCAGCTTGGGGTTGTGGTCATAAAACTGATTGCATCACATCTCCCATTCCTCTTCCTACCCAACGTTCCACTCAATTTACTTCAGAACTGAATGTTGGGACCGTTGTACATCAGTCAGCAAATGTGTTCTTTCACATCTTTACCTACGGCCCATTCCTACTCTGTTCTCCACCAGACACTGGTATTACTTCAGATAACGACATGAACAAGACTTTTCTCTGAGGAATGAAAATGCATTTGAGACCACTTTGAGGTTTTGCCGACCTGGCATTGTTTCCTGTGACTGTACAAGCACTATCAGAAGCCAGCTTCTTCAAGCTAATGGTGTGCCAATCAGAGACAGGAAGCCAATGGAAGTAGAGCATAAGATGTAGCAGGTGATGTCGCACGTGGCTCAGTGGTTAGCACTGCTGCCTCACAGCACCAGGGGGGATCTGGGTTCAATTCCACCCTCGGGCGACTGTGTGGAGTTTGCACATTCTCCCCGTGTCTGTGTGGGTTTCATTCCACAATCCAAAGATGTGCAACTTAGATGGCTTGACCATTGCTAAATCATCCTTAGTGTCCATAGGTATACAGTTTAGGTGGATTAGCCATGGGAAATGCAGAGTTACAGAGATAGTGAGAGGGTGGATCTGGGTGGGTTGCTCTTCAGTGGGTCGCTGTTGACTCAATGGGCTGAATGGCCTGCTTCCACACTGTAGGAATTCTAAGTAAAAGTATTTAGTTGAGCACTTGAGATGTTTATAGCGTTCAAGACTATGGGCCAAGTGCTGGAAAGTAGGACTAGATTTAGAGTAGTTTTGTCAGTGCATACTTGCTGGGTTGAAGGATCTTGTGTAATGTATGATTCTAAGTAGGCTGTTCAGCCTAAAGGCAATGCACAGGGAAGATTTAAACCAGAGACACCCTAGTTTTTCTGGTAGAACTATTGGCAAGGCTGGTAGGTGTAGGGAATGCTGGATGACTAGAGAAATTGAGGTTTTGGTCAAGAAACAGAAGGAAGCATATGTCAGGTATAGACAGCAAGGATTGAGTCAATCCCTACAGGAGTATAAAGGCAGTAGGAGTATACTTAAGAGGGAAATCAGGAGGGCAAAAATCATGAGGTAGCTTTGGAAAATAGGGTTAAGGAGAATCCAAAGGGATTCTACAAATACATTAAGGACAAAAGGGTAACTAGGGAGAGAATAGGGCCTGTTAAAGACCAGCAAAGCTGCCTATGTGTGAAACTGCAGGAGATGGGGGAGATACTAAATGAGTATTTTGCATCAGTTTTTACTGTGGAGAAGGATATGTGAGATGTAGAATGTGGGGAAACAAAGTGACATCTTGAAAAATGTTCATATTACAGACGAGGTGGTGCTGAATTTCTTAATGTATAAAGGTGGATAAATCCCCGAGACCTGATCAGGAACTGTGTGGGAAGTGAGGGAAGTGACTTTTGGGCCCCTGGCTGAGATATTTGTGTCATCGATAACCACAGGTGAGGTTCCCGAAAACTGGAGGTTGGCTAACATGGTGCCACTACTTAAGAAAGGTAGTAAGGAAAAGCCAGGGAGCTATAGACTGGTGAGCCTGAGATCGGTGGTGGGTAAGTTGTTTGAGGGAGTCCTGAGGGACAGGATTTGCATGTATTTGGAAAGGCAAGGACTGATTAGGGATAGTCAACATGGCTTTGTGTGTGGGAAATTGTGTCTCACTAACTTGATGGAGTTTTTTGAAGAAGTAACAAAGAGGATTGATGAGGGCAGAATGGTGGACATGATCTACATGGACTTCAGCAAGGCATTCAACAAGGTTCCTCATGGTAGACTGATTAGCAAGGTTAGATCACATGGAATACAGAGGGAACTAGCCATTTGAATACAGAACTGGCTCAAAGGTAGAAGACGGAGGGTAGTGGTGAAGGTTTGCTTTTCAGACTGGAGGCCTATGACCAGCAGTGCGCCACAAGGATCAGTGCTGGTCCACTGCTTCTTATCATTTATACACATGATTTGGATGTGAACATAGGGTGGTATGGTTAGTAAGTTTGCATATGACACCAAAAGTGGAGGCGTATTGGACAGTGAAGAAGGTTACCTCACAGTACAACAGGATCTTCATCAGATGTGCCAATGGGCCGAGGAGTGGCAGATGGAGTTTAATTTAGATTAGGGGCAGCAGGGTGGCTCAGTGGTTAGCGCTGCTGCCTCACAGCGCCAGGGACCCGGGTTTGATTCCACCCTCGGGCGACTGTCAGTGTGGAGTTTGCACATTCTCCCTGTGTCTGGGTGGGTTTCCTCTGGGTGCTCCGGTTTCCTCCCACAGTCCAGAAATGTGCAGGCTAGATGGATTGGCCATGCTAAATTGCCCGTGGTGTTCAGGGATTTGTAGATTAGGTGGATAAAAGCGGGGTGGGATGCTTTGAGGTTCGGTGTGGACTGGTTGGGCCAAAGGGCCTGTTTCCACACTGTAGGGATTCTATGATTCTAGATAAGTGTGAGGTGCCACATTTTGGAAAGGCAAATCAGGTCAGCACTATTACACTTAATGGTAAGGTCTTGGGCAGTGTTGTTGGAGTGCAGGTTCATAGTTCCTTGAAAGTGGAGTTGCAGGTAGATAGGGTAGTGATGAAGGTGTTTGGTATGCGTGCCTTTATTGGTCAGTGCAATGAGTATAGGAGTTGGCAGGTCTTGTTATGGCTGTACAGGACATTGGTTTGGCCACTTTTGGAATATTGCATTTTATTCTGGTCTCCCTGCTGTAGGCAGGATGTTGTTAAACTTGAAAGGGTTCGAAAAATATCTACAAGGATGTTGCCAGGGTGGAGGGTTTGAGCTGCAGGGAGGGGATGAATAGGCTGACGCTATTTTCACTGGAGAGTTGGAGGTTGAGGAGTGACCTTATAGAGGTTTATAAAATCATGAGGGGCATCGATAAGGTAAATAGTCAAAATCTTTTCACCTGGGTGGGCAAGTCCAAAACTTGAGGGCATAGGTTTCAGGTGAGAGGGGAAGGATTAAAAAAGGATCTAAGGGGCAACTTTTTCACACAGAGGGTGGTGCGTGTATGGAATGAGCTGCCAGAGGAAGTGGTAGAGGCTGGTACAATTACAACATTTAAAAGGCATCTGGATAGGTATATGAGTAGGAAGGGTTTGGAGGGATATGGGCTAAATGCTGATAAATGGGACTAGATTTATTGAGGATATCTGGTCAGCATGGATGAGTTGGACCAAAGGGTCTGTTTCTGTGCTGTATATGTCTATGCAACACTGATTGGGATGCTACCATCATCCCAATCAATGTCACTAGTAATCCAGAGGCCCAGGTTAAATGCTCTGGCAGCATGGATTCCAATGTAACCACAGAAATGAGTGGCACTTAAATTTAATTAATAAATCTGGAAACTAGTTTTAGTAATGGAGACAGTGACAAATATTATCAAACTATCAGGTTCACAAATGTTCTTTCGGGAAGGAAATCTGCCATCCTTACCGGTTCTGGCCTACAGACCCTCAGCAATGTGGTCATCTCTTAATTACCCTCTGGAAGGTTCTAGAAAGTCATTCAGTTCAAGGGCAACAAATGCTGTCCTTGACAGTGATATCCGTATCCCATGAAAAATAAATTAAGAAAAACAAATCGGAATGTTACCAAGGTTCAGATCTGGAGAAGAGAGAAAACAAATGAGGCTGGTGTTCCCTGGGATAGATTTAGATTTAGTTTTTAGATTTTATTGTCACGTGTACTCAAGTACAGGAGCACAGTGAAAAGTGTATAATGTTGCCACACGTGACGCCATCTTAGGTACCAAGGTTAAAAGGTTAGAAGGAGTCATTTGATTTGAGGTACTTAGGAATTTAAAAAGAATTGCTAGGGTAGATGGATTTGTTTCTGCTGGTGGGACATTATAGGACAACGAGAAATTATCTCAAAATCCACTTAAATGCTATTTAGCAAAGAATGTAAACATTTGTCAGAGTGAAAGGTGATTGAAGTGTAGAACACTCTCAAAAGGCAGTAAGATGCCAGTATGATCAATGATTTAAAATCTTGTACTAGCCAATAATAAGGAGACAGGATTGTTGGATGGATTTAAGACATGGATTAGCCATGATCTCATTGAATGGTGCGATAGGCTTGAGGGGGCTGAGTAGCCTTTTCCAGTTCCTGTCACTTTGATGCTGAGCAACATCGACTGTTTTGTTTTGGAAATAGTATGAAGGCGATAAAAGCAATGTTCATACCAAGTGCATAGAAGAGAGTAGCCAGTCTTGAAACTTAAGACAATTGAGAGAGTTTATTTTGTTTTTGTTCAACCTGGTAGCTAGGCTGACCGCAGACATTCATTCAGCTCAGAAACCTTTATTCATTAATTCTCCAAGATGCTTCGTCCTGTTTTGCGACTGAGTTCGGTGCTATGAGGCCACTGAAGTTGGGTTCTTCCTCCATCTCGGCAATGTTCTTCACCTTGCTCCATTTGTCCCTCTCCCGGAGACATTTCTTGAGACAGGGACGGCACAGCATATCTTTCCTGACGAGGTAAAGGTTCTCCACACGATCGATGGTCTCTATGGGCTCCTCGGGTACCTGTGGAGTGGTGAACGGGTTCCGCAACACATTCAGCTTCTTCAGTTTCGGCAGCTTGGTGATTTTTTCAGGCATGTAGGTGATCCGGTTGTCGAAGAGCCCCAGTTCCTTGAGCTCCTTTAAAGTGCCGATGGTGGTCGGAATCATTTCCACAGAATTCAGCCCGAGATTCAGGACCCGGAGGTTTTTCAGCTGCACCAGGTCCGTGGGTAGGCCATCTGTCGTGAGCTTGTTGTTAGACAGGTCAAGATAGTAAAGCAGCTCCAGCTGACAAAGGGTTTCTGGAATCCTCTCGATCTTGTTTGTGTGGAAGTCTAGGTAGCGCAGCTTTGGGAACTTGTTGATGAAGTCTGGAATCTTTTTGATCATGTTCCGGCTCAGGTCGATTTCCTCAATATCCGTCAGCTTCAGAATGCACTTGGGGAAGGTTGTAATGCCCATGTTGCTCAAGTCTAAACGACGCTTCCCATCCACTGTGATTTTCATGGAGTTTTTTGCCATTTTTAGGGTGACCTTTTTCCCCTGGGGGCCTCCTTTCCTTTTCGGCATGTTCTTGCTCCTTTTAACATAAAAAGAGAAGAAAGCAATAAAAAGAAAATTGAGCGTTGTCCGTAATGACAGAAGCAAGTAATTACATGGAGTTATGATTTTTAAAAAAATTTGTTTATGGATATCGCTGTCCAGGCCAGCATTTATTGTTCATCTCTAGTTTCCCAGAGGGCAGTTAAGAGCCAACCGCATTCCTGTTGGTCTGGAGTCACATGTAAGCCAGATTGAGGTAAGTGTAGTGATTGGTCAGCCAGGTGGAACACATAGAATATGTGCCCCCTGATTGGGGCAGTTAACCTGGTCCAATCAGGGCACCCTGATATAAACAGGAGTGCCAGAGGTTCTGCTCACTGACACTGGCTCTGAGGAAGTCAGAGTCAAGTACTATGGATGTAAAAAATAAGGGGTGACTCTAGAACAGGATACCAGTCTCTATGGAGTTATTTTAGTTAGGATGACTGATTTCCTTCCTGAAAGGACTTGAGTGAACCAGGTGGGTTTTAAAGACAATCAACAGCGGCTAGTTACCATGGTCAACGTTAGGATTTTTTTAATTCCAGATTTTTATTGAATTCAGATTTAGCCATCTACCAATGTGGGTTTTGAACACACTTCACCAGTACATTAGTTTGGTGTTCTGAATAACTACTCCCTTGACATTACCACGACATCGTCACTTCCCCTGCTTATAGCTCAGCTGCAGGCCATTCAGCCCACTCGTCTATGCCAATGATTAAGATCCAGATGAGCTACTTCCCACTCACTTTATCTTGCCTTGCCAGCACATCTTTCTGTTTATTTCTACCTTATGCATTCGTCTAGCCTCCCCTCTGTTGTAGAATTATTACAGAACTTTTCACCCTGTCCTGTCATCTTGACATTATTAGAACTGTGAAACGTGTATTAAATTGTTTATATATTAACTGAGATCTGTATAGATTTTCAGTAGTGAATGTTAATTCTCCTCGGTACTTCCCCAATTGACTAAACACTTCGACGTGTGAAAACAAACACTGTGGTCTGGATATTTCCATCCAATACAGAGCCAAAGTTCATCAAGTGGGCCTTTAAAAATGTTGGGCAGGACCTGAATCCATGGCTTCAGAAGAATTCTAGGACCTACATTTTTTACTAAAGGACATTAAACAGTGGCTAGTCAGGCAATACCCACGTTAAACAAGTCTGCTTTAGAGGAGAAGTGGGGAAGAGTGGGTGTGTGGTAGCGAGGGCCTTGAGGGAGGGTTGTAGCTTGTGGAGGCAAGGGTTTGAAATCAAATCAAATGTAAATGGACATTGCCAAAGGGGAAAACAGCATGTCATTTAGCTTGTAGCTGCAAGATGATTCTACTCAAACCTCTGGCCTTCAAAATAAAGGTGAGTGATTGTGAAAGTAAGCAAGGAGGAATTGCAATACAGCAAGTGACCCCACACCCACTCCTGCAGATTTTGCTAGTGTGAGATACAGCTCAATCTCCTGCCTGGCAATGTACAGCAATAGTTAGTCCCATCACAAAGTGGTGCATTTTAGTTCATAGAGTCCCAGAATCCTACAGTGCGGAAAAAAGCCATTCAGCCCACCACCCTATTTCTTTTACCTTTCATTTCCCATGGCTAACCCACCTAACTGGACACCAGGAGCAATTTAGCATGGCCAATCCACTGAACCTGCACATCTTTGGACTGTGAGAGGAAACCAGAGCACCCAGTAGAAACTCTCACAGACACCAGGAGAATGTGCAAACTCCACACAGACCTATCCAGCGTCAGAATTGAACCTGGGTCCCTGGTGCTGTGAGGCCGCAGTACTAACCACCGTGCTACCTTGTAGCTCTGTGGAAGTAGGTGGGTTTTTGTGAATGATGTGCTCCCAAGTCTTGAGTTGCTCAAGGCCATTCAGGGCCGGGCAATCAATGGTGGCATTACCGACAACACTCGCACCCCGTGGAAAACAAGTGATAACACAGTGTGGAGCTGGAGGAACACAGTAGGCCAGGCAGCATCAGAGGAGCAGGAAAGCTGATGTTTCGGGTCGGGACCCTTCTTCAGAAGAAGGGTCCCGACCCGAAAGGTCAGCTTTCCTGTTCTCTGATGCTGCCTGGCCTACTGTGTTCCTCCAGCTCCACACTGTGTTATCTCTGACTCCAGCATCGGCAGTTGTTACTATATCTAAGAGTGGAAAACAATCCTGGGCACGTACACTAGGATCTTTTGCTGAATCAAGATCAGGATAACCAACGCCAACTCTGTTGGGGTCTGTTTGAAGAAGCTGCCATTAGTCCTGTTTACACCAGCTCTGTGAGCATAGGCTGGTGATGGAAGCTGGCACCTTTTGCCTCAGTGGTTTATTACCTCCTCCCAGGGGACAGTCGGAGCTGGCTGAAACGGAGCGCTCTCACTGTCACCTCCGGGAGATCACCCTGTTAGCCTACAGGGTGTGCTGCTCACCGCTGCCCACATGTCAACAAGTATCCCTCCACCTTCTACAGCAAAAAAAGATGTTTTTGTTTCCATGTGTTTTCCTTGCACTGAATAAAAAGAATGTATTTTACAATGACAAACTGCCTGCCTGAGGAAATTATTACAGCTCGTGGTTCTCTTATGAGTCTCACTGCCATTACTCAGCTTCCAGTCAAGTCTATTCTATTCCCAAGATCACACACAGCAGTTTAATCTGGTATTGGGAAAATCTGCTGTGTACCTTTGAACATGTTTGCTTTTCCTTCATGCAGCACAGGTTATGGAAATTGATTTGAATTGTTCAAACCTAATAATGCATTGCCTGAAGGGCACACAGCAGTCTCTAGTCCCCATATTCTGTGAACTCTGCAGCTTTCCAAAAGAAACAATTTTTACACAATTTTGTTTTAGTCACTCATGGGATGTGGGCGCCACTGGTCAGGTCAGCATTTATTGCACTTCCTTAATTGCCCAGTGGGCAGTTATGACTCAACCACATTACCAGGCAAGGATGGCAGTTTCCTTCCCCACAGGGCATTAGCGAACCAAATGGGTTTTTCCAACAATCGACAATAGTTTCATGGTCATTAGGACCTTATTTCCAGACTTTTATTGAAATCAAATTCCACCATCTGCTGTAGTGGGATTTGAACCAGGTCCCTGGATTAACAGTACAGCAATAATACCGCTCTGCCGTTGCAGATTTGGAAAAAGGTATTGCAACTTATAGTTAAAGAGTATTTAAAAATATTTCACAGCATTCAGCCATGGACAATATCATTGCAAATGGCCACTGGAATATGACAATGTAGATCGTGTAAAGTATTTACAGGACTGAAACAGGGCAATTCGGCTCCAATGGTGCCCTGCTCCCTACTAAAGCCTCCTCCCGCCTGTCTTCACTTAACTGCATCAACATTTCTTTCTCTTTCCCTCTCCATGTTTTTATATTGTTTCTTCAGAAGAATATTCATCTCAGCCAATCTGTGTGTGACAAAAACTGTCTCTAATGTAGTATCACTTGCTGTATAGCAATCCCTCCCTGCTGACCTGCACAATAACTCCCCGCTTTTATTTGAAGGTCACAGATTTAAGTCATACAACAGTAAGCAAAATTAAATGTTGTTTTCCCTTTAGCAATGTACAGGATTTACATTTGCCTTTATTCCCAGCACCCCTCCCCCTCCAAAAAAAAAAATGGACTTAACGTGTGTTGCCTGATTGGCACCATTTAATGTGATTTAGCAAAAATAAATGACCGTGAGTTATTTGGGAGCCACTGGGAACTGGAGGAGTTTCCAGCTGGTTACCCTGTAGCTGCCTTTCACATGACAGCACTTAATTGTACTAAGCCAGATCACAGCGGTGATGAATGATTGTTTGGGAAGCAATATGGGTTTCTCTCATACACACCTTTCCATTAAAAAGGCTTCATTACAAGCCCTTCAGGGACTTTGGCTACTCATTAATCATATTCAACCATGTGCAGGAGAATGTGAGATAATAACTAATGCATCCAGCTAATTTCAATTATCTAGCTTAGAACAGGGAGAAGAAAAGAACAAAAAAAAGCACAGTGTAATAGAGTCCACTTAATCCATCCATAAAAATCCATCAAAAGTACATTTACTGCTTTTATTATAAGGTCAGGATGCTGAAAATGTGCTTGAAATGGGGACTGGAGTTATGCTGCTCGGACTATTACTTGCTACTTAAGCAGGTATCACTACTGGAGACAACTTGTTCTGATTCAAATCAGGAGAGCCAAGTTATGCCCTTGCTATGGGGTTACCCTATAGGTAGATAAAAGAAAAGGAACAAAGTTGCATTTACATAGCATCTTTCACAGCCTTAGAAAGTTACAACGTGCTTTCCAGCCCAGGAAGTACTTTTTGACATCTGTTTGGTATTATAATATCAGAAACACTGCAATCAATTTGTGCACAGCAAGCTCCTGCAAACAGGAGATCCGTTTGTGATGATGTTGCTTGAGAGGTATTAATTGTTAGGACGCTGGCAAGGACTCCCTGACCATTTTTGAAATGGCACCACCTGATCCTTTGCCCTAAAAATACATTGAAGCAAATGGTGCCACTATCTGACCTGCAAATGTGTCATCTATTGAGGTTTGGCATGGGTGTCCGGCACCAAATGGAACTCGGCAACAAGTGATGGGTCATACGTTAATTAAGGAATAATTGGTAAGCCCCAACTTGGTGTATAGATGTGGGGAAGTCTCTTGTGTCTGTCCCTCTGAGCCAGCGGGTTTGAGTTCAAATTCCACTTCCCTCTGGAGGTGCATCACAATATGTCCCAGTAGATTGATTAAGGGATATATATTGGGGAATGTAATTGCTAGTATTGGAGCTTGTGGTTTGTGAGCTATAACTAAAACTTTGACTAGTAAAGTAGATGACTGGACTCTGTGAAATCAGTATTTTAACTTCTTGTATTTATAAGTAACTGCCATTTTTGGTGTTACTTGCTTCTGGTAGTGAATCAAAAGTTAGGAATTCTCAAAGATTAGTGTGTTCCAGAGCCTTTTCTTTGATG